CCACGACGGTCGTTCCTTGAATATCGAAGTCGTGGCTAATTTCTCCGATATACATATGTTGTAAGCTGTGATTTAGGGTCTAGTCTCCGAGACGCCGCTTTGTGTTCCTGTAATTAAAGGACAGATCCCGGTCAAGCCGAAGTCAGGAATACGAAGACGGCCATGTGACGAAACCAGTGGAAGAGGGAGCAGGATTGCCGGCATCCTCTACCGTGGGAACGAAACAGAACACCAACCACCGCCACGCCAAGCCAAAATCCACACGCAGGGCCAAACAGCGAACGGGGAAAAATCAATCGGCCCAAGGCCAACACGCACTGCCGCAACTTTAAACTTGCTGATCGATAAAGCCAGTATTCGCTTCGACAAAGGACAGCCAGCCCAGCTGTCCGAGACGTCAGCAACTCTACAAATTTATCCCGGTGAGTAGGAGATGAGCTGTAGATTCAAGTATGTTTTGTTAGCGGGCTAAACCAGATGAGGGTTTCAGGTGTCGGCGTTTTGGGTCCCCTGTCTTTTTCATCCCCCTCCTGCCTCCTCTTCATTTGCAAAAAGTTCTGCGAAGAAGGCGACATGCAGTCCTGTAGGTCACCCAGGTTAGCTCGGGTAGTCCTCCTAATAAACAAAGTCGCCGCCCTTGTGGAATTCGACAGTCACCTGGAGTGTCAAAGCATCCCTTTTAATGGGTAGTGCTGCTAACTCCCTCATGGATAGACAGGACGTGCTGGTGACAGAGGCGAGCTGCGACGCCCATTACTGGGCGGATTACTGCATATCCCCTCCAGCAGAAGGCTTTAAATACAACCTCGCGGGAGACCACGAGATTAGCGCCCACGAAGTAAGTTAAAGAGTTCTCTGCTAAATGTGTCTGCTCAGCGCTAAGATGTAAGAAAACAACTACCCCGAAGTCTGGAAGAATTACAGACACCAGACTACGACGCCGCCGTGGAGACACTGCGACTTCACCTGCGGAACGCCTTCTATTCTACCGCCCTTGACACCCTCGGTCCCCACTTCGTCAGCGTCAGGACTGAATTGACGATAACGACGCAGAAATTCACTATTTGCTTGACCGCAATAAGCATGCGTTAACTGCCTAATTTAGATGTCCTCCCTCGGTGCAGCAACGACTGTGAGAGATGCAGGGTGCCCGAGTGGTTCACAAGGCTGGGGAGAAAACCAAGGGTAAGCGGACTACAACGAAAGCAAGGTCTGCTTCGCCTCTATCAAAGCAGTCTAAAATTTCGATATAAAAGAATCGTGCCGCTGCTCGGCTCCGACGTATCAACCCTTCTCAAGTGGAGATTTTAGATTCTAAAGAGCAGGGTCAAGCACTGCAGAACCGTCCTCAATCGCTCATCCACAATTTCTGACACCGCCATCAACCGGCTCCCCTAGCTGGAAGTGAATAATGGTCTGGAGCTCACACCCTCTCTCTCAGACACAATCAGAGATGTTAAGCTGCTCTCCAGCGCGAAAGCATCGAGATTCGACGCAATCCCGAGCTGAGAGGTAGATCGGTGGTGAGGACATTACGATGAGGAGTATATGGCAGATGACAGGTGTGTAATGGGTGCATATACAAAGGCAATAAAACGTGATGTATTCATAA